TTTTATTTATTTATTGTAGATTTATTTTATTGAATCACCGTGAGATACAGTTACAAAGCTTACATGATTTTCAATCATAAAATGATCAAACACTCATTCTTTTACCAGTGTACATTTTCCACCAATGTCCCCAGTATCTGTCCTGTCACCCCCACCACACTCACCCCTGTATCTATGACAATTTCCTTGTAACTCTGTCTCTAATTTTGAACATTATGGTTTGCACTACAGATACTGAGAGGCCATCATGTTTGGTCCTTTATCTATTTTCAGCACACATGTCCCATCCAGAGTGACTCCTCCACCCATCATTGACTTAGTGATCCCTTCTCTATTCCAGCTACCATCCTCCCGAGCTCATGAGGCAGGTCTTAATCACTTTTAAAACTTTATATACATTCATTACAAATAAGAAGCATATTTAGTTGCAATTTCAAATTGGCTTACAAAAATCTGGATTTTCTTCCTTGTTCAGTTTCATAAGAATTTCTGAAATGTTTTTCTGTGAGTCTTTACAAATCTTCCAAACAGCTGCTACCTTGCCACAAATCTAGCATTTTCTGCTAACTATGATCCAAAGTCATTTTGATTTCCATTTCAATTACTGTCTTAGTAAATACACCGAATATAACAATTAATTCTCTATATTTTAAGTAAGTTTCAAAGTCTCTTAGGATTTTGCAATTTAAATCTAACTTCTATTTTTCTTTTTGGAAGACCTGTCACTTCACATAAACTTCAGTTTATCATATTTCCTTGTCCGTGGGGAGTTGCAATGGGACAGGATTTGTATTCATCATTCTAGATTTGCTCAGGCATTGATTTAAGTTTGCATTCTTAAGCATATCCGTGGATGCTTTTTGTAAACCTGATGATTTAGACAACAAACAACAACAACAAAAAAAAAAACACTAAATCTAAATCTAAACACTTTCATTTCTCCAGCCAGAAGTAACTTTACTCCCCATCAAATCTTCAGAGCAGTTTTTTAATTACATTTCTTACTTTGCCAGCTGGGCTGGAGCAATAGCACAGTGGGAAGGGCGTTTGCCTTGCACACTGCTGACCCGGGTGACCCGGTTTCGATTTTTCCACATCTCTTAGAGAGCCAGGCAAGCTACTGAGAGTATCTTGCCTGAACGACAGAGCCTGGCAAGCTACCCATGGTGTATTCGATATGCCAAAAACAGTAACAAGTCTCACAATGGAGACGTTACTGGGCCTGCTCTAGCAAATCGATGAACGATGGGAGGACAGTGCTACAATGCTACTTTGCCAGCTAAGTGGCCAGTATTGTGGTGTAGGAAATACTTTGAACATGTCTAATAGTGACTACCTTAGCACCATGTGCTAAAAACATGCTAAAACATGCTAAAAAAAGGTTTTGGAGATTGTGCTCATAGTGCGTTACTGAAAACTTCACAAAATAGCTCTACAGAAAGAAAGAGTTCAAGAGACTCTAACAATGACTTGGAACAATTGTTCTTTTAGCGTGTATTGTTTTTTACACTGCAAAAACATGCTGTAAAAATTAGTTCTTTGGGTATTTGCAGTGTTATTAAGAAACAACATGTTAAGATAAACTTTGTAGAATGAATTTTCTTGTAGATGCTATCCAAAGGGACTACAAAGGTCACTAGCTACACTAGCAAGCCCATTTTCAAGGATGTCAATGTATACCTCTAGATTGCCTTTAAGATGTTATAGGGGAATGAATTGCCCAACAAGCCTAAAGGATCTCACAAAACACAAAATATATATACTCTTAACTACATTCAATAATAGATAAGTTATAACAGACCTACTTAGTCATTCTTAGGATTAAATAATAAATCAAGTTTCCATTTCAAAGTAAAAAAAATAAGTAACTGAAGTAATGATATGAAAGATGATGAATAGAACCATATTTCAACCTACTAAAAATGTTTTAATATTTAAAAGTTAAGTATTTTTAAAATTCTTACCTATACTTTAAGCCCATATGTATCAATCTAATACTATCTGCATAAGCTCATTTTATTTGTATTTCTTAGAAATCTATTTTCTGCATTAGTCTTATTATATATAACATCAGCAGCATCACCATCAGAGCTGACTATGCTTCTTCAGTAATTAATACTTCTAATCATAAGTTATTCTTTCGGGCTAAGAACCTTATTATCTTGGTTTGTTTGTTTGGGGGCTATACCCAGTAGTGCTCAAGAGTATAGCCTATATCACTACTGGCTCTATGCTCAGGGACCACTCCTGATGTTGCTCAGGGATCATATGGATGCAAGGGTTGACCCAGCTGGGTCACAAACAAAGCAAGTACCCTACCCGTTGTACTATCTCTTTGGCCTTGAGCCAAGCACTTCAACTAAAGTATTTTATTTGAACCTTCGAGTTATCCTTTAAGTTTTCTGATGCCCTCCATTTTATAAAAAAAGGACAGTGTGGTTGAGTTACCTAAGTCACTGATTGCTAAGGCAATGCAGCTAGCAAAGACCAACTGGAGAGTCCATCCAGAAGCATACCCCTTTATTTTCCCCTAATATTATTATAATCTGGACACTTTAAGAACCCTGAACAGTGATCATCCATTAAAGGCTAAAACTAACTCAAAGGATTGTTGGTCTCTCAGACAATCATGGGCTGATAAAGGTTTCTTGTGAGCCCACATAAATGTTTTATTCACCTGGACCGAATCCGTGGTGAGGGGCAGGAGTTACAGATTCATGGCAGTTTCAGTATAGATGTGACTTGAACCATTTCTTCCACTGCTAAATGACAGTGAAGAAGAAAAGTTTAAGCCAAAACAATAACTTCTCCAAAACTTCATGAGTTCAATCATCTCTGTGCCTCTGGTCTTCTTTCTCAGAGTGATTTAATCGTTATATGCAGGCTTTCCCACCCCTGTGCTTCTTGCACCTCAGCTCAACTCACTGAGAAGGGACTGGGAAATAAAAACCAGAAGGGAGGGCTGACTTAAATCCAGTGGAGAGTCTCCTCCTATCTCCAGCCTTTTATCCAAATGTTTAGTCATAATGTCAATGTCTACTTACAGATGAAAAGTTGGCAGTAGGAAGCACAATTTTTTTTTCCCCTTGGCGAAACACACACGCTCACATACACATATATACAATGATGAAACAGATGCTAGATATTGCTTCCTCTCTATAATTTGCAAATTCTCTACAATGAGTATATGCACATATTTTACAACTGATAAAAATCATAACCATCATTTAAATATTTTATCTCCTCTCCCATTGCTTTCTCAGAGACAGCTTTGTTATTCTTAACTCTGCTGCATTTTGTAAGGCAGCAAATAAGAAAAAAACCTGAAATAATAAAGATATTTAAAAACAAGTAGAAGATAAAAGAAAAAGGAAAACAACTGGTGCAATTGTTGTTTCTCAGAAGCAAAATGATTTAAACATAGACAGAAAAGCATCCAAAATCCTCAAAAACCTACTTAAGGTTTTTTTTTTATTATTTTATTAATTAAACACCTTGAGATACAGTTGTAGACTTCCAATTTTTGTGCTTGGGTTTCAATTATACAATGATCGAGTACCCATCCCTCCACCAGTGCCCATTTTTCACCACCATTTATCCCAGTACCCCTCCCGCCCCCCCATACCCTACATCCCACTCTGCCTTTGTGGCAGAGCATTCCCTTTTGTTCTCTCTCTCCTTTTGGGTGCTGTGGTTTGCAAAAGAGGCATTGAGAGGCAATCATGTTCGGTCTATAGTTTACTTTCAGATGATCCTCCCAACACCCTTTATTTGGTGCTCCCTTTTATATCAAATTCATAAATTTAATAATTTATGCATATGTAAAAGCAATAGATATTTGGGTGCTTCACCCATTAGAAGCTCAAGGTTTAGGTTTAAGACCAATTTTTTTTGGGGGGGCACACCTATTGTACTCAGGACTTACTCCTGGTTCTGCGCTCAGGAGACCAGAAACAGTGCCTGGGGTCAGACGTAGGTCAGCTGCATGCAAGGCAAGCTCCTTATCCACTGTGCTATCTAAAGCCAGATATTAAAAAATGGCAACATCAATATAAATTAATGACTGAGTGGGCTACAATATAATATTTTGTAAACATTCCGTAGTAAGATACTGAAACAATAATCAAATAACACCACCATCAGCAACAATGCTTATGATTTTTTGCATGCTTTCTAAAGATCAGGCAAAGGACTAAGTGTTTTTAATTTGGGGGGATCTTGGGTCATACCTAGTGATGCTCAGGCTCACTACTGGCTCTTCACTCAGGCGTCACTCTTAGAGGAGGACCATATGAAGTGCCAGGGGTTGAATCTGATTTGGCTACATGCAACACAAGTTCACTACCCTCTGTGCTAATGCTCTGGCACAGGGGATAAGTATTTTAATGCATAATCTTTTAGAGTTGCCAAAGCTAAGCTATAATTTAGACATAATTTGACATAAAATAGACATATTTTTATGTCTATCTCAAGCATGAAGAAACGGGCTAAAGGAAACTGAACAATTTGATCAAGCGGCAGAATTGGGACTCAAAAGTCTCAAAGTTTTATCTTAAACACTATGCTAAAAACAAAATGTCATAATGTCACCTGAGGCAATTAAATTGGCCCCTAATATCAGCACCTTTTAAGACAATCACATTCTTGGAATGGGCAAGAAACTTTTATGAAAAAAACAGTCTTCAAGTCAGCAAAGTTAGGAAAACAATAACTTAGAAGAAAAGGACTATTAAGAAAAAATGTGAATTGTAAGACAGGCATCAAAGTAATGAATAGAAAAATTCTGAATCCTTCAGTCAGTAGAAATTTTATTGAAGGTCTCTTTCTGACTTCATTTTGGAATCTATGTCGCTGACTAAAAGACTTCTACATTGTTCTTTATCGTCCAAAGATTTCATGATATCATATAAAGCAGATTATGTATTTGAGAAAAGCATATATGTAAGCCATAACTTTCCAGTCAGTGTAAGAGTATAAAAGTTTATAACTCTGAACCATACCTTGGTTTTCATGAACTTGGAGTGACTTTTGTAAACCTCTATTTGTTTGATCTCTTCTTCGCGGTCCTCAGTGTTTAGCACACCATTGGCTTTTAACATCTGGATCTCATCCTCAAGATCCCTTATGTTTCGCTCCAATGAAGCAATTTTTGTGTCCTATTTGGGGGAAATAAAGGGAAAAAACAGGTTAAAAAAAGAACAATTATTGGGGGAGTAGGGGGAGTTGTATCACTTAAACAGTATTTCAGAAATAAATTGTGGAGGTAATATATTAACTGTAGGGAAACATAGCCTTGAATTCCAAGAAATTTAATTTTTTCACTACTGGGGACCATTTGTGAGATTAATCTTTAAGCTTGCAATAAAGACCCTGTGTCAATATAATACAGAGAGTTGCCCAGATATGTTTGCCTAATGTCTGGGAATCAAATTACCAAAGATATAAAGCTACAGGGATAAAAGTAATCTAAAGTATTTTTAAAAAAATAAATTCCATTTAAGCAGACAAATCTGTAGTTTTGCATGTTGTTACCAGTGTCATATTTTGTCAACTTTTATTTAAAAAAAACTTTTTTCTTCATATGTGTATTCCATGGCTGGCTTTATCAGACATGCTTGGAATTTGATTCTGAGAGAGAAGTAAATTCAAATCTACTAATGGGGGAAAGGATCCTCATTTAAACTACAGACATAAGTAAAATTAAAGAAGCAAATTTTGACTATAAGAGTGATATAGTCGCTTTTGGATGCATAGAAACTGGAAATAATATATCACAGCATCATGATGTACTTGGAAAATAGCTTCCCACATGACAGAAAAATAATACTAACTTGCAGGATATTTCTACTCCTATTGATTGTTTCAGAGGAAAAAAAAACCCTGAGAATACTGAACTCAAACATGCAATTGAGAAAAAAAAATTTTGCAAGACAATAAAAGAATCTATACACAACATACATAAATAATACATTAGGGCCAGAGAGGTAGTGAAGCAGAGAAGGCTCTGTCCTGCAGGTGGCCAGCTCAAGTTCAATCCCTGTAATTGATTATGGCTCCCCAGGGTCCAACAGGAATGATCCCTGAGGACAGACCCAAAAGTAAGCCCTGAATACCAACGGATGTACCCCCAACCCCAAAAAACTAAAGTCAGAGATGATGCATTAGAAAGTAGAGAATAAAGACCTCTTAGAGAGGAAAAAACATTTTGCTGACTTCAGTGACTGGACTCAAATGAATCTTTGAAATACTGCATGTTAAAGTGTGACTCTGCCTTTTCATACTGTCACCCATTACCTGTCATTTTATTCTATTCAAATAAAAAGGTCCTCCCGTTGATCATCGATTTGCTCGAGCGGGCCCAGTAATGTCTCCATTGGAGACTTTGTTGTTACTGTGTCTGGCATATCGAATACTCTCGGTAGCTTACCGGGCTCTCCGAGAGGGGCAGAAGAATCGAACTCTGGTCGGCCATGTTGGCTGCGTGCAAGGCAAACGCCCTACCCGTAAAGGAACAAATATTATATGTGTATTTAAATAACAATAAAAAACAAGTCATATCCTCAGGTTTTGTTGTTATTGTTGTTTTGCTTTACAAAATTTATATGTTAGAATCTAAAGAATCCCAAAAGAGAAGGCAAAAATCGGTTATTCTAGATACAACTAAGTCCTTATACACAATAGGACCTCTGTGATCAGGTCGAGGTGTATGATTTGCATTCTTGAGGATCTGAGCTCAAGTCCCAGTACCACATGGTACCTGGAACGCAACTGAGTGTAACCCTGGAGATACCCCAAACACTGCTGGCGTAGCCCTAGGTACAAGTGGAATGGCCCTTGTGATGCCCAGAGTCATAGAGCAACTCTGCACACTGGGACCCTAGCCAGAACTGCCAAGTCTTACTGGGAATGGCCACCAGAACCCTGAGCACTTGGGAGGATCAAACTATACCACAGACTTTCATGACTCTGAATATTTCCAATTTTGTTTTCCTTAATGGTATGACTCTTATGGCAATGTAATAATCACTTTATTAATAGTCCCTGTTGTTCAGAGGAGGAAAACAAGGAGCAGCAACCACTACGTATTGAGCTCCACCTTCTAGTAAGGTCTGAGCATGCTAGGGAGTACAAACTAAATTGTGGCGCTCACATCATTGGTTGGAGTATTCTCACACCTGGTGTAGCACTGGCAGAGCTCAGAAATGAATTCAGGGTCTCATTTCCAGGCAATGCAGGAACTCTACCATAAAGTCACATGTCCTTAGCCCCAAATCTCAGTTCTTTAAGTCACCCACTCTGTGGCATTTCAACCGAAGCTCACAATTATGTCAGATACGCTTTGTGACATATTTAAGCTTTAAGCAATGAAAATTCTGTAGATAATGAAACATTTCTGGCTGGAGCGATAGCACAGCGGTAGGGCGTTTGCCTTGCACGTAGCCAACATGGCCGACCCGAGTTCGATTCCTCCGCCCCTCTCGGAGAGCCCGGCAAGCTACCGAGAGTATCTCGCCCGCACGGCAGAGCCTGGCAAGCTCCCCGTGACGTATTCAATATGCCAAACACAGTAACAACAAAGTCTCCATTGGAGACGTTACTGAGCCCGCTCGAGTAAATTGACGAACAACGGGAGGGCCTTTACCTTTACCTTTTTAATGAAACATTAATAATAAAAAGTTTGATGAAAAAGGTCAAAAGAAACCTATGAAAAACTCTTGAACTTCTAAAAGTTCCCAAGAGCCTTCTTAAATAAGAGTCACATTCTTGCGTTTTTTCTTTCTTTCTCAGTTCTCTTTTAGGCACCATGATTTATAAAACTGTCAATAATAGAGTTTCAGGCATACTATGTTCCAACACCACACCCACCACCACTGTCAGTGCCCCTCCACCAATGTGCCAAGATTTCCTCCCACTCCCCAACCAACCTCCTTACACTTTTGCAAAATGTAACATAAGAAAAATATTTAATGTTATGCACCATGGTTTAAAATACTGTTAATTATTGGACTTCATGCCTATCACACTCCAGTACCACACCCTCACACCTTCCAACAGAGTGTTCCTACCCCATCCTACCCCTACTCATACCAACCCCTATGATGTTTCATTTCTAAAGACCAGTTCTCAGTTTCTGTTGCCTTTGGGCATTTGTTATTCCTTCACTATGGTTGTTTTTATATCAGTTAAATGAGAGAGATCATTCTGTACCTCTCCTTCTGACTCATTTTACTCAGCATGATACTCTCCAGATCTATCTATGTGCCTGCAAATTAAATAACTTCAACTTAAGATAGCAGAGTAGTATTTCACTGGGTATATGTCTCCTAGTTTCTTTATCCAGATATGTGTTCTTGAAAATTTTGGTTGTTTTCATACTTTGTCTATTGGGAATAGGGTTGCAATAAACATAGAAATGAAAATCTCTTTTCTGGTGGTGAATTTTTGGCTCTTGAAGTAGATGCCAATAAGTGGAATTCCTGGATCACATGAAATTTCAGTTCCTAGTGTTTTGAGATGTCCATTTTTTCCTAAAAGGAATGATCAGTAAGTAAATATACCCACCAGAAGTGAATGAGGGTCCCCATTTCTCACATCCACGCCAACACTGACTGTTTTTGTTTTTTTGTGATGGGTGTGTCTCACTAATGTGAAATGACATCTCTTTTTATAATGTGCATTTCCCTGATGTTTAGTGATGCAGAACATTTTTAGCAATCTGTATGTCGTCTTTGAGAATGTTTCTGTTCATCTCTTCCATCCTTATTTTTTGATGGGGTTAATTATTATAGTTTATATTCCATGCTTATGAAAGTATTGACTCTTATGGTTTTAATTACACAACTCCACAACCCCCAAATACCCTGAACAATGTCTTTTGTTACCTCCAGGCTGCTTCATCACTACCTGCCATACTAATTTTCCCCCTTACTTGAATTATCATTTGTGTAATACAGGACCAAGGGTTTTCCATCATTTTATACCTTCCATTACCTTGTCTTGTTTCTCTATATACCACAGATAAGTGATAACATTCAGTATTTGTCCTTTTTCCACTGACTTAGTTTACTTAGCATGATACACTCCAGGTTCATCCAAGTTTCAGTAAACTATATTATTTAATAATTTCTTATGGCTGAACAGTTTTCCTCTGTGTATTTATACCACAACTTCTTGATCCACATATCAATCATTGGATATCTGATGGGTTTTTTTTTTTCATATTCTAACTATCTTACTAAGCTCTGCAATCAACACAGATGAGCATATGTATTTTTCAAGTAATTTTTTTTGTCTTTTGGGAGATAGGTGCCCAAAAGTAGAATTGCTGGGTCATATGGAAGCTCTATTACTTTTTTGAAAGAAGATTCACGTTCAATGAACATTTTTTTTCTTACCGCACAATTGAGAAAAGCTCATTATACAAAATTTAAAAGTTATAGAGATAACTATGTTTGTGAATAATACATTCAACCAGATATCACTTGATCACTTGACATCCCATTACTCATTGATTTGTTCAAGCAGGCACCAGTAACATCTCCATATGTCCCTATCATGTGCTAGTGTAGCCCAATGGCGTCTGCTTGATCTAGGAACACAAAGAGCCTCAAATTGATCACTCAGGGTCTTAACGAAGAAGTCTGACCATCTCGTAGGTGGGCAGCCATGCAATCATTTGATGTCCCGTAGAATCCAATTGGTAATAGCTCAAGTCCAGCAGTTGTCTCAGAATCACATTACGTGTCCAGCCCATTTGATCTTCGATGCCTTGGCAAATGAGACATTGTCCCTGATTCTTAACCATCAACAAAGGTCAGAACTCCAGATTATTTCTCTCATTTGAGTGAAGTGTGATACTCCAAGCATAGCTTTTTCAATTCCTCCTTGGGAGACCTGAATAGAGTTCTCATCTTGTTTTCGTAGGGCCCAGGTCTCTGAGGTGTACGTTAATGCAGGAAGAACAGTGGAATCGAAGACATGTGCTCGGAGCCGGAGGTTCTTCATCCTCTTGGCTATTTCTGTGATGCTCTTGAAGGCATTCCAAGCCGCTCTCTTCCTCCTGTGCAACTCAGGTGCCAGGTCATTCATCATGTTGACTTCTTGACCTAGGTACACATAACTATTGCATTCGAAGATGTTCATTCTGTTGAGAGTG